CGGGCTCGGGGCTGTGCGACCCCGGCCGGGCCTCACCCTCGAGGGGGCCGCGGGCAGGACTCTGGAGGAGCGGGGGAGGGCTCCGGACTCTGGTCTCCGAGCGCCCACCGCGTACCGGGTGCCCCGTGGCGGGAGTGGGCACCGCCGGCGCCCCGCTTAGTACGGGAAGCTGCTTCCCAGGTCTCAACTTCGGTGAAGTGTGTTCTTGCTACTGCCCGCGCCGCCACCGGGTGGACGTGGGCCAACGAGTGTGTTCCCGCCCCGGGTCTCAGTTTCCCGTTTTGTACAGCCAAAGGAGTCGAAAAAGAAGTGTTTCGGATGCGCGATGGTACTTCGGAGGCCTTGCCTCGGGGTGGGAGGGGGCAGGGTGCTTGCGGTCTTGGCAGTAAGAGGGGTGTGGGGAGGACCTGCCCACCACATCCTGTATCCTGGCGCGGCTGTCTTCAAATAAAAACCCCCAATTCTAAGCTGTGTGGGGGAACCACTACCTAGACAAACTAAGAATGATGAAGATAAACTAGGCTTACCCTGTGATTAGCAATATTTAGATTATAGCTGCAACCATGCACATATGAGAGTGAAAGAAGAATGAATCAAATAGTAATATGTTGAACACTTTTTGTTTCTTTTTCCTGACAAAGTTCAGTGTAGAGCATCCTTCCCTTCTGAGCTGGGAAGTGTTTCAGGAAGAAGTGGTATATTATAAGAATGTCTGAGGGCTTCCTCAAAACCAAGGATCACTGTGAATCTTCAGCCCAAATACCACTAATTTTGTGCCGTGCACTGGGGCTTGAACTTGGGCTTAAGCACTGTCCTTTAGCTATTTTGCTCAAGGCTGGTGCTCTACTCCTTGAGACACATCTCCACTTCCTGCTTTGTGGTAGTTAATTGGAGCTAGAGTCTCCTGATATTCCTTCCTGGGCTGGCTTCAAACCACAATCTTCAGATTTCAGCCTCCTGAGTAGCTAGGATTATAAGCATGAGCCACTGATGCCCCACAATGGATAGTGGAACTTTTAACTGAGTTTGGTGTCAGTACATACTTCCCTCTAGCAGTTCCCTTTCTGTACCCTTGACACTGCTTTTGGTCACTGGCCCATTGGCCTTGTCCCTTTTAGTTGGTGTTTGTCTTTGACTCATTTCACTTTTTAGAAATAGTGTCTTTTAAGTACTATTTCATATTGCAAAATATTAGTTGGAAAAAGAAGAGATCATAAAACTAAGCCCCAGGCCTGGACACTGTCCCTGACCTTTTGCTCAAGACTAGTACTCTACCACCAGCCTCAGCACCACTTCCAGCTTGTTCTTTTTATGTAGTGCTGAGGAATCGAACCTAGGGCTTCATGGGTGCTAGGCAAGCACTCTACCACTAAGCCACGTTCCCAGCCCCCATAAAACTAAACATTATGTAAGTAAAATAATTATTACAAATCTGGATGGAAACATTGTTTTTAAAAATAGCATCATTTGGAGCTGGGCCCTGGTTGCTCACACCTGTAATACTAATTACTCCAGAGATTGAGATCTGAGGTCATGGTTCAAAGCCAGCCCAGGCAGAGGAAGTCTCTGAGACTCATCTCCAGTTAACCACCAAAAAGCCAGAAGTGAAGCAGTGGTTCAAGTGTTAGAGCACCAGTCTTGAGCAACAAGCTTAGGGACAGTATTCAGGCCCTAAGTTCAAGCCTCAGGACTGTCACCAAAAAGAAAAGGAAAGCATTATTTGGCTATCCACAGTATTTGGCTAACACAGCAGGGTGTTCAAAACAGCCAAATGTCTAGCAACAAAGGAATGGATAAACCTAATGTGGTATATACACAGTAGAATCTTACTCAACCTTTAAAAGAGATTTTTTTTCCTTTTTGCTGGTGCTGGTGCTGGAGCTTGAACTCTGGGCTTGGGCTCTGTCCCTGAGCTTCTTTTGCTCAAGGCTAATACTCTAGAGCCATAGTTCTACTTCTGGCTTTTTCAGAGTAATTTATTAGAGATAAGAGTCTTATGGAGGGCTGGGAAGGTGGCTCAGTGGTAGAGTGCTTGCCTTGCATGCCAGAGGCCCTGAGTTCGATTCCTCAGCACCACATAAGCAAAAAGAAAAAAGGTAGAGCGCTAGCCTTGAGCTGAAGAGCTGAGGGACAGCACCCAGGCCCAGAGTTCAGGCCCCACGACCGGACCCAAAAAAAAAGAGTCTTATGGATTTTCCTGCCCAAAGGGCTGGCTTTGAATTGTGATCTTCAGATCTCAGCCTGATCTACCAGTGCCAGCAGGATTTTTTTTTTTTTTAAAGAGATTCACTATGTAGGGGCTGGGAAGGTGGCTCAGTGGTAGAGCGCTTGCCTTGCATGCCTGAGGCCCTGGGTTCAATTCCTCAGCACCACATAAGCAAAAGGAAAAAAGGTAGAGCGCTAAGCCTTGAGCTGAAGAGCTGAGGGACAGCGCCCAGGCCCAGAGTTCAGGCCCCACGACCGGACCCCCAAAAAAATAAATAAATAAAATTAAAAAAAAAGAGATTCACTATGTAGCCCAGGTTGACCTTCAAGTCATAATTTTTCTCTACCTCCTAAATTCTTGGATTATAAGTGGTGCCACCATGCCTAGTTCAGATATCTTGTTTTTTATGTCAAGCAAAAGACTTAAGAATGGGATAAAAAAATACATAAGTCATACTTTGGGGGAGGGACATACAAAGCAACAAAGAAATCATCTTATAAATATGTTAGAAACAATCACAAGAAAGAAAAAAAACACTTGAATACTTATCTTGGGGTTCATTTCACCTAACGTTATGTTGAAAAACGAATTTTACAACTTTGGCAGGGCAGGAGCGGGGAGGGGGGTGTGGATGGGAAGGGGAAACAAAGGAAGAGGCAACAATGCTTGATAAGAAATGTACTCTTTGCCTTGCCCATATAATTATAACCCCTCTGTAAGGTATTTTCACAATAAAAAATTAAAAAAGAATACATGTCAGTGTTAGAAAGCAGCTAAAGATGCTAGATATTGGCTAAAGATGCCTGTAATCCTTACTTACTTGGGCTACTGAGATCAAGAGGACTATGGTTCATGGCCAACCTCAAGCATGAATGTTTGGGTGGGCAAGGCAGGAGAATGAGGTCAAGGAAGAGAACTTCCTCCTGGGTCCTGAGAACAGCGGCTCGGGTGTCTGGGTAGCGTGAGGAAAGCCACTGGGAGAACTCAGACAGGAAGAGGCTGGAGGTTAAGGCCTGGGTCGTGGTCAGAGAAAACAAAAGTCCAGGAGCTCCCAGCTCAGTGGAGCACTTGCTCTGTGCTTGCTCAAAGCCCTGGGTTCCATCTCTAGTACAGCAATAAACAATAAGTAGGAAAATAAAACTGGGCACCAGTGGCTCATTTCCTGTGGTCCTAGCTACTCAGGAGGTTGAGATCTGAGGATTACCATTCAAAGGCAGTCCAAGCAGAAAAGTTCCCATGAGACTCTTAATCTCCAATTAACCACCCAGAAAGCTGGCAGTGGAGCTGTGGCTCAAAGTGGTAGAGCACTAGCCTTCAACACAAAAGCCCAGGGACAGTTCCCAGGCCCTGAGTTCAAGCCTCACAACTGACCAAAAAAAAAAAAAGAAAGGAAAACAAAAGCACAAAGAACCAACACCAAGGCACCTGTAGGGAACCTGGCCAAGGATACAGGTGCACCAGGGTCTGGAGTTCCTGAAAAGCCTCTGACTGCTTGGGTGCGGGCTTGGCAACTCTTCTCCTCTGTCCCACAGGCTGGGCTGGGCCAGGGATTGCTGAAGGGCAAGCTGGGGGGAGGGAGGTAGAGGAGGGAGACCATGCTGGGGCCTGTCTGCTTTCTTTCTATCTTCTCTTGCCCAGAGATGGAAGGGCACATTCCTGAGTCGTGACTTCCCCAGGGAATCTGGATGGGGAACTGCGCACGCGTGCGCGGCACCATGTCACTGCCCTCTTCTGAGATTCTGCAGCGGGACCAGACTGTCCTTTGCTGGGCTTCAGGATCTGAAATTTGTGACCCATGGTGATTTTATGAGACACCTTCCTTACTGATGAGGCCCTCCTGGAGGTGGTACTGCCATCTCTGTCTCACAAAGAAAATCAAAAGGCAGAGAGTTAAGTAGCTGACCCCCAAGTCACCCAGCCCATGAATGGGAACCGGGGGACCTGAGCCCCAGCAGCCTGTCCCCAGCCCTTGCCTGAAGTCCATGCCTTCATTAGTCCCATGGATTGTCAAGTCACACAGGGAGCTCTCTCTCTCTCTCTCTCTTTTGTTTTGTTGGTTGTGGGACTTGAACTTGGGGCCTGGGTGCTGTCCTGAGCTCTTTTGCTCAAGGCTAGTGCTCTACCATTTCGAACCACAGTGCCATTTCCTCTCTTTTCTTTAGGTGGGGAAACTGAGGCACAGGTAAATGGTGGTACTTGCCCACAGACCCAGAGCCAAGGCAGCTCTTGGTGCTACCCTAGCACCAGGGTAAGGCTTGTCACTCACGTCCCAGAGGTGCTGTGGCCTCCCCCCACCCTCGGAAGTGCTGCAGGATGAGATCAAGAGGAGCTTGATGTGGCTTGGCTTTGAGGAAGACAGGCTGCTGAAGAGAAAGAAGAAGTGAGAAGGGGAAGTGTGGTGGTGAAGAGAGGTGAGAGAATCAAAGAGGGCAAGAGGGAGTGGGGACAGCAGAGAGGCTGTTGAAGCCCCTGCCTCCAACTTCTTCTTCTTCTTCCTGCAGAAGCCAGGGGACAGCAAGGAGACCACAGCAGAGACATCCAGCTGCACAGGTTTGCACCCCCTCTGTCCTTGGGCCTCTCGTCCCATACTGCCCAGCCCTTTGTCTTAACTACAACTGCCCATGGGCCCTAGATGTGCCTTTTTCCATGTGGGCACGGGCCTGGTGACATTCTGAGAGCAGCAAGCTTGGGACACATCCTCATGACAACTCTGGACCCCGGGAATGTAGAGATCTGGTATTTCAAGTGAGGCCATTTAAACGAAGGGCCAATTTGGGGATAAGGCTTTGGGCTCAATGTGGCTCTCTTATGCTTGGGGTTAGGAAGGACCAATATTTTCTGGACCCCAGTTTCCTCATCTGTAAAATGGGTCTAGTATCCTACCCTTCAGGTGACAGGGTTGGGGTGCACAGAGCCAATGCTCTGTAGATTGGAGGAGCTGGGACTAGAGCTTGGGGCTCAGGGAAGTGGCCCTGGGGGTAGGCTGGCTCACATTCCCTGTTGGACTTTGCTAGGCCTCTCTTGACCCATCTGTGAAATGGTGTTGAGAGTAGCATCTCTTTGGGCCATTTCCCAGCTCACTACTTGAGGGAGGGTGGGCAGAAGCAAGGTCTCCAGGCTGTGCCACTGATGCTGCTGGGGGCTTCTGGCGTTCACGATCGGCTCTGATGAGTAAAGCAAGGATTCCCATACCTCACATACAATAGCTGGTCAGGGACTTTGCTCATAGCCCGGGCCCTTCATCAGGTCCTGATCCACAGGAGCATGCATCATGGAAATGGTTGGTTGAATTGAGTTTCTCTCCCTGGGAGAGACATGAAAACCCAAGGTCCAGAGAGGCCAAGGTCCCTGCCCAACATCACACAACAGGGCACTGGATAATCCTGGAACTGATTTTCCTAATATAGAAATAAACAGGGAAAAAAATCTAACTCATTATGCAGATGGCAAGCAGGGAATTTGGACATGTGAGAAACAATGTAAGTATAACTGTGCTATTTGATTTTTGTTTCTGGTTTTTCTTGTGGTGCTGGAACTGAACCCAGGGAATAGGGCATGCTCAGGCAAGTGCTCTACCACTGAGCTCCACTCCAGCCCAGATGCTCTGTTGGCAGGAGCCAAAGTCTAGAACCAACCCCTCCAGTGCCAGAGGGCACTAAGGCCCCCTGAAGTGGGAGGCCCTCACCAGTTACATGGTTGGTATTATTATTATTTTATTTATTTATTTTTGCCGGTCCTGGGGCTTGAACTCAGGTCCTGGGCACTGTCTCGAGTAGTTAGGATTGCAGGCTTGAGCCACTGGTGCCCGACTAATTATTCTTATTCTTATTCCTATTATTTACAATACTGGGCTGGAGCTCATGGCTTCCCATTTGCTAGGCAGGTGTTGTACTGCCACAGCTCCTGCCTTGTGAACTGGACTGTTGGATACATTTTGGCTCACCCTTGCAATGACCTTAGCTTGTACAATGAAAGTAGAGTGTCTCTGGGTATTGCTATGGCAAAGTTCCACGATGTATTTTCGAGTGTGAAAAGCAAAGTGGAGAACCATGTTAGAGGATCTACTTTTTATATAACATGGCAGGGGGGAGGGATTCTATTTGCTTTTATTTGCATGAAGAAACTCTAGAAGACACTCAGAACTATAATAACAGAGGTGATGTGAGCAGTTGAGTTTGCAGAATGGAGGATTACTTTGTATGTTACAGCTTTTGGATTTATTTGTTGTTTATATTTAAAAACGTAATTTAGAAACTATCTGTAAGGCAACAAATAGAAACTGAAAACTATACAACTATGGCCGATGTAGAAACAGGAAAAAAATAGACAAGCAATACAAGCCCATAATCTGCCACCCAGAGTGACCTCTTTGGGGCTAGAATAGGATTATATTGCTTTGCAATTTTTTTTTTTCAGTGCTGGTAATCCAACCCATGGCCTCATGCATGCTAAGTGCTCCACCACTGAGCTACACTCCCAACCTGTAATGTTTTTTTGTGCTGGTCAAGGGGCTTGAACTCAAGGCCTGGTGCTCTACCACTTGAGCCACAATTCCATTTCTGGCTATTTGGAGGTTAATTGGATATAAGAGTTTCATGGCCTTTCCTGCCTGGATCGGCTTCAAACTGTGATCCTCAGATCTCAGCCTCCTGAGTAGCTAGGATTACAGACATGAGCCACTGGCGTCCAACTGCATTTTGTTTTTTATAATTCATACTATTAATACTCATCTGAAACATTGAAAAATTTTCTACTGGGAACAGAATGTTTGCTTTTGAAACTTAAGCAATACAGAAAACATAGATAGAAAAGCTGAGTGCTGGTGGCTCATGCCTGAAATACTAGCTAAGATCTAGAGGAGCATAGCTTGATACCAGCTTCTCCTTGAAGAACAGTCCTAAAGACTCCATCTTCAATTAACCAGAAAAAAGTCAGTATGGGGGCATGTCTCAAGTGGTGGGGTATCAACTGTGAGCAAGAAAGCTAAGTAAGAGTGCAAAGTCCTGAGTTCAAGCCCCAGTACTGGCACAGACAGACAGACAGACACACACACATACACACAGAATTAAAAAAAACTTTCTTCAGATAGCATTATTAATATTTTGGCAATCACTCTCCTAGGTATGACAATATACTTAAGCATAGCTATAAACAGCTGGGCATTGGTGGCTCATGCCTATCGTGCTGGCTAATTAGAAGACTGAGACTTGGGGCTAGGAATGTGGCTTAGTGGTAGAGTGCCTGCCTTGCATGCATAAAACTCTGGGTTCCATTCCTTAGCACTACATAAACACACACACACACTCTCACACACACACACACACACAAGGCGGAAGTGGAGCTGTGGCTCAAGTGGTAGAGTGCTAGCCTTGAGTGAAAGAAGCTCAGGGACAGTGCCCAGGCCCTGAGTCCAAGCCCCAGGACTGGCCAAAAAAAAAAAAAAAGGCTGATACCTGAGATCACAGCTCAAATCCAGCCTGAACAGGAAAGCCCAAGAGCCTCTTATCTCCGAATAACCAGCAAAATGCGAGAAGTAGAGATATGGTTCAAGTGGCAGAGTGCTAATCTTGAGCAATAAAGCTCCAGTCATGAGGACCAGCGCGCACGTGCACACACACACACACACACACACACACACATACACACACAGCGCCTATAAACATCATATATATATATATATATATATATATATAAACATATTATTTTCAGTCTGCTCTTTCTAGTCACTGATATGCTGTCCTCCTTTTTTTTGGGGGGGGGTCCTGTTGTGGGACCTGAACTCTGGGCCTGGGCGCTGTCCCTCAGCTCTTCAGCTCAAGGCTAGCACTCTACCACTTGAGCCACAGCGCCACTTCCGGCTTTTTTCTTTCTGCTTATGTGGTGCTGAGGAATTGAACCCAGGGCCTCATGCATGCAAGGCAAGCACTCTACCACTGAGCCACCTTCCCAGCCCCTGAGGTTGGTTTTTGCAGGTTTGGTTTTCTCTAGATATACTTCTCAGTGATGGAAAGCTGGTGAAAATGAAGGAAGTTTCTCCTCTCATTTATCTTGGGCTGCCCCCTCAATATATTCTTTTTTTTTTTTTGTCAGTCCTAGGGCTTGAACTCAGGGTCTGAGTGCTGTCTCTGAAGCTTTTGTGCTCAAGGCTAGTGTTCTACCACTTGAGGTACAGCTCCACTTGTGGCTTTTTTGGTGATTTATTGGAGATAAGAGTCTCATGGACTTTGCTGCCCAGGCTGAATTCAAACCACAATCCTCAGATCTCAGCCTCCTGAGTAGCTAGGATTATAGGTGTGAATCACAGGCTCCTGGCCTCTCAATATATTGTTGTCTTGTTTTTGTGACATCTGTCTTATGGAGATAGGACTTCACATAGAATGAAAGTCACCTTTTAGGAGAGTAGTTTCATGAGTTTTGATAAATGCACATGTACAGTCATGCACATGTCTGTCACATTCAAGATAAACAACCTTCTACTGTCCTGTGCCCTTTTGCCATCAGTATTTTCTCCTCATCTTCAGGAAACTACTGGTCTGATCTCTGACCCTACTGCTGTTCTTTTTCTCAGTGATCATCTAGTGAAAGCATTTCTACTTGACACTTTCTAAGAGTTTCCTGCTGTTCCCCTTGTGTTCTTGGAAGTCTACTTTTCCCACTGTACCCTTTAGCATATTCATCAAAGTAACTCGGTCCTTGTCTATGAATTCCAACACTTTGGAAATCTCTAGGTATGCTTCTTTTATCTGGCTTCTTTTGTCTCTTGACAATGATCTTTCCTTTTACTTGATTTTATGTATGTCTGATAGTCTTAAAATCTTTGATTGGCTACTAGATCCAGGATAAAGGAAGAGTAGCAGGGGATAGACATGATGTTTATACAGCGGCATAGTGTTTACTCCTGGTTTTGATATAGGAAACTGAGTCAACTCACCCCAGAATTGGTTTGTAGTTAGGTTTTGTTATTGCTGAAGTTAGTTTATTGTTTTTGGTCTTGGAGGTTGAACTCAGCACCTGGGCACTGTCACTGAGCTCTTTTGCTCAAGGCTAGTGCTCTATCACTTTGAAACACAGCTCTACTTCTGGTTTTCTGGTGATTAAATGGAGATAAAAATCTCATGGGCTTTCCTGTCTGGGCTGACTTCAAACCACAATCCTCAAATCTCAGCCTCCTGAGTAGCTAGGATTATAGGCATGAGCCACCAACGCCTGGCCTGTAGTTACTTTCTGTGCCCAGGCTTCAGATTTCTCCAGTGGAGAACCACCCTGAGTTTATGCTTAGTACAAGGCCTTGAGACTCACTGGGATTTCCTTAGTTTTTCTGATCTAGCCTTACATGCAAACAACACAGAGGGAATCACTTTGAGTTCTGGATCTTTCCCTCTTAGACCTCTGTTCCTTGCCATTTACGGTAAGGTTTGTGGTAGTGGCAGTGAACTCTCAGTTCTCTTGGTCTAGTTTCAGTCTTAGGCAGCCTTGACCAGAAATCAGCGTGTGAGCATTTGTTTCTCTCCAGTTTCCAGGGAAAGTCTAGAGTACAGACAGATTTCCTGCCTCTCCCCGCCATGGGACCCAATGTCTGCCTTATTGGTAGGGGGATCCTGGCTGTGAGTGAGGCTCCTGCTTTCCTTCTAGGAGCTGCCATCACCTGTCTGTGCAGGTACTGGCCCCTGCTGGGCTTGCCTTGCCATCACAGGCTGTGGCATCGACTTGGCAGCATGTTGGGCAGGGGCTTGTGGCATGCTGGTGTCTCTTCGAAACAGCCAGCACCACCTGTTCTCGTGCCCATGCCAGGCCTACACCAGGCCCTGCCCTCTCTGCTCCATCTTGCTCCCCAGGGGAAGACTGGGGAGGCAGTGTCTAGCAGGTATGGGTTCCCCTTGAGTCCAGGGCGCTCAGATGTCACCATTAAGAACTCATTCAGACATTGGTCATTCGCTTCTCAGCTCCCTTGGTGGAGACCCTCCTTCCTCCTGGCTTTGTCAGCGGTGAATCAGTTAATGTGTCTCCTGAGTCAGTGATTTTTCTTTTTTTTCTTGGTCAGTCATGGGGCCTGAACTCTGGGCCTGGGCGCTATCCATCAGCTCTTCAGCTCAAGGCTAGCGCTCTACCACTTGAGCCATAGCACCACTTCCAGCTGTTTCTGCATATGTGGTGCTGAGGAATCGAACCCAGGGCCTCATGCATGCAAGGCCCTCTACCACTCGCTATCTTCCCAGCCCCTGAGTCAGTGTTTTTGTGTTCCAATTACTATTAGAAATCAGCTCATTGACTTACCTGGATCTCAGCTGTCCAGTGCACTTAAAAACAAACCAAGTAGCTCTGGGCACCAGTGGTTAATACCTGAAATCCTAGCCACTCAGGGGGTTGAGGGTCCAGGTTTAAAGCTAACCTGGGCAGGAAAGTCTGTGAGATTCTTATCTCCAATTAACTAGCAAAAAGCCAGAAGTAGAGGTGTGGCTCAAGTGGTAGAGTACCAGCCATGAGCTAAAAAATCTAAAGGACAGCACTCAGGCAATGAATTCAAGTTTTGGTATTGGTGTGCGTGCTCACACACACACACACACACACACACACACACAAAAGGTAGTAGCACTTGTATATTTTATTTAACTTGTGGACAATGACTTACAAACAGCTGCAAAAATAAAACTAAGACTTCTTTTGCCAGAACTCACTGTTTAGTATGAGCTTCGGTATAAGTAAGGACTTCGGTAAGACCTAAGGCGGTTTAAAGTGATGGAGATACTGATTCTAAGAATAAAGAGTTAATCATAAAAGTGTAGGTCATGAGAAAACTCTGAGCTGTATTAAATCAGCACCGTTTTTGTTTTTTTTTTTGTCAGTCATGGGGCTTGAATTCTGTTTCTTTTTTTTGTTTTGTTTTGTCGGTTGTGGGCCTTGAACTCTGGGCCTGAGCACTGTCCCTCAGCTCTTCAGCTCAAGGCTAGCGCTCTACCACTTGAGCCACAGTGCTCCTTCCGGTTTTTCTGGTGGTTTATTGGAGATAAGAGTCTCATGGTCTTTCCTGCCTGGGCTGGCTTTGAACCAGCAACCTCAGATCTCAGCCTCCTGAGTAGCTAGAATTACAGGTGTCAGTCACTGGTGCCCAGCTTTAAATCAGCACTTTCTAAAAACAGGTTGTTATTTTTCCACTGTGATGACAGTCTCAATGTCTTAATGATGCAACTTCCCTTGCTGTTTGAGGTGGGCAGAGCTGGTTTCAGTCGCAGCCCTTTTGGCTCCACAGCTGTCTGAGATAAGGATTGCCACGCTATTCCAGGCAATGCCTTCTAGTGTTTGGCTCAGCAGCAGGCAATGCCTGCCAGTGTTGTGGCTCCTCTGCCAGCAGCTGCTGTTGTGTTGAGCATAATGAATAAACTTCAGGATAACAAGAGAATGACTGCAAATATTCCAAAGAGAAGCATCTCACAATCAAAGGCTATTGCTACTCCTTTATGGTAGCCCATATGCAAATGAGGTGTAGAACAACTGACCAATCAGAGAAGACCTACTGAATCACTGTGGGTCTACAGACTGAAACTAGTTCTCAATTATATGATCTCCTGCAACACCCCTTGCCACCTCCCCCCCCACCCCCCAAAAAAACCAACCCTACTAAGCCTAAGAGGAACTAGGAAGGATGAAGGAGGGACATTCTATTCTCTACACCTGGAGTTTTGAAATAGTCTTGCATTTTCCATAGTGTGGTCTCCATTCCCCAACCCAGGAATGCCTTCTGTTAGAAATTATTGCGAGTGCTCTACCACTTGAGCTACAGCACCACTTCCGGTTTTCTGGTGGTTTATTGGAGATAACAGTTTCACAGACTTTCCTGCCCAGGCAGGCTTCACACCGCCATCCTCAGATCTCAGCCTCCTGAGTAGCTAGGATTACAGGCATGAGCTATCGGTGCCCAGATTTAGAAATTATTCTCTAGGAGACCTGGACCTTAAGTATTTTACACAACTTTTTAGCTTTAAAAAGATTAAATTTACCATTTCAGCTGGGGAGCCCCCAGAGAGACCTCTTTTTTGGGGGACGGGAGTATTTCAGGCCACGCTGCTAATGGCAGCTCTTACAAACTGGTCCAACATTCTAGAGTCATAGAAACATGACTTCAGATAGGTACACCCAAGCAAAGCAAGATCCCTTGCTCTCTGAGCCTTGGCTTGCCCTTTTGTGAGATACAGGAAGGACTTGGTGGGTCCTACCCTAGGGACACACCAGGTGCGTAGAAAGCAGGGGTGGTGCTTTCATTATAAAGATGACGATACTGGTTTTCAGGGCAGGACTCAGCACAGAGAGGGGACTGAACCCAGGGCATGGATCTCTGCAGGGTCCTTTTCTTCTCTCTGGGCTTTCTGACCTGTCTGGGCAAGATGGCAAGTAAGTAGGTGCTGTGGAGCCCCCAGTGGTGAGAGGGAGGGGGAGCCTATCACAAAGGATGGGGTGATCGTGGATGGGGAGTGGAGGAGCCTGTTGAAGGGGTCTGAGTTTTGCTGCCTACAGTGACACCCAAAGATCTCCTGTTCTTTATGGAGACCATGGAGCAGCCCAGAAGCCGAAAGCCATCCGTCCGCACTGGGTGAGCCGGTCCACCTCCTTGCCTGCCCAGTCAGCTGTGCCTCCTCCCCCAGCTCCCCCATCATTGGTCCTGGGCTGGTTTAGGGTGATCTCCTACTGTGCTCAGCATGCAGCTACTGAGGACCTACTGTGTGCTTAACACTGGCTCTGGAGATGCAAGATGGATATATCACTCCCCTCTTGTAGTTTACTGTCTACAGTGGGGTGTGTGTGTGTGTGTGTGTGTGTGATCACGGAGGTCATGAAGGGACCGTGGGCCTGTAATCCGTGGGTGGGGAGGGTCTCTATAGTTTCCTGGGCTGGGATGGGTGAGGTGGGGCAGTCAGTGTGACTCAGATACCCCATGGGGGGGTCTAGAAGGCAAGTGATGGGGTAAGGATGAGAGACCCTGCCCTGCAAGGTTGTCTGGAACCCCACAGGCCCCGCCCCCTGCTCAGGGCCCGCCTCCTCTCGCCCTCCCTTACCTCCAAGCTCTGGTCCCTTTGGCCACATCTCCTGCCCTCAGGCACATCCACCAGCTAGAGCAGCTTCTGCTGAATGTCTCTTTCCCTGGCCACAACCTGACCCTACAGACGCGCACCATCCAGTCTCTGGTCTTCAAGCTGGCCTGCAACTTCACGGGCCTCTCCCTGAGCAGTGCGGCCCTGGAGCAGGGCCCCCAGGTCAGAGGCAACCAGGGGTGAGGGGAGCCAGTTGCATCTGCCTGGATGCCCTGCAGGGGTTTGGGGCTCTGACTGTTCCCAGTCCAGGAGCTAACTAAGTAGCTGGGAGTTGCCTCCTGAGGAGATGAAGTGATGAATAATGGAAAGGAGGTGCTCGGTAGCCCCATAAGCGGGGCTTTCCCAGCAGCAGCAGGAAGGACAGGGAACCCAGGATCCTTTTAGGATCCTAGCTGGATGCCTGGTGGGTGGCTCCAGGGAGAGAATGGGCAGCCAGGATCTGGGGGTCTGGGAGGAGGTGCGGCCTGCAGATTGTGCAGGTGGGTGAGGCCAGGGAAGGTTTCCTGGGGAGAGCCCCAGGCTCACCTGTGTGGGGCCCTCTGCAGCTCCAGGCCCTGCATACCATGCAGTTCCCCGCAGAGCTGACCTGGGATGCCTGCAGCAGGACCAGGCTTGCGGAACTGCGCCTCATCTGCATCTACTTCTTCACTAACAAGTTCTTCCAGGTCAGTAAAGGGCAGATTCAGGTCTCCCTACCACCAGCTGGCCCTGTGGATGGGGATCAGTGCTCACTGTGTCACCCAGGCTGGCTAGGGGCCTCAGCTTTCCACCAGCTTTAGGGAGTTGCAGCAACGGCAATCTGAAAACCAGTGCTAAGAATCTGGCACATCCGGGGAGGAGGGGCTGGGAAGGGAGGGCTTGGGCCACCTCCAGGGTCTCCCTAGGTCCCCTCCATTCAGCAACATCTTCCTCTGCTCTTCCAGGATGACAGCAACTCATCCTTGCTCAATAACTATATCCTGGGAGCCCAGCTGGGCCATAGACCTGTGAACAACCTCAGAGATCCAGTCAACATCAGCATCTGGCACAACCAAAGCCTGGTAACGTTGGGGGCACCCCCATGCCTACCCTACCCTTTCCCCTCTTGTGTTTCAACCAAACTTCACCCTGAGGAACCATTTCTGAAACAGTGGATGGAAATCCATCACACCCTGACATGAGAATGAAGCTGCTGCTGCTTCCTCCTCCTCCTCCTCTCCTCCTCCTCCTCCTCCTCCTCCTCTTCTTCTTCTTCTTCTTCTTCTTCTTCTTCTTCTTCTTCTTCTTCTTCTTCTTCTTCTTCTTCTTCTTCTTCTTCTCCTCCTCCTCCTCCTCCTCCTCCTCCTCCTTCTTCTTCTTCTTCTTCTTCTTCTTCCTCTTCTTCTTCTTCTCCTCCTCCTCCTGCTCTTCCTCCTTGTCCTCCTCTTCTTCTCCTTCTTCTTCTCCTCCTCCTCCTCCTCGTCCTCCTCCTCTTTTTCTCCTCCCCCTCCTCCTTGTCCTCCTCCTCCTCATCCTCCTCTTCGTCCTCGTCCTCCTCCTCGTCTTCTTCTTCTTCGTCTTCATCTTCATCTTCTTCCTGTACTGCTGCTTAAATTCAGTGCTTGCTTGGTTTATGTGGCTGTTGCTTTACTGGCTGAACCACACTTCCAGCCTTGCATTCTTCTGGTTATTTTGGAAATAGTGTCTCTTGGACTTTCCTGCCTAGACGGGCTTTGAACTGCAGTCCTCTGGATCTCAGCCTCCTGTGCCTGGCAAGGCCTTGTACTCTCTATGTCCCTCAACCTTTCCTTGCACTCCTGCTTTGCCACTGTTGTCCCCTCTGCCTGCAATCAAGCCCTGCTCTACTTCCAAGGAAATTGACTTACCTTTTCAGGACTCAGCACTCCTCTCTACCCTCTGACTCTGGGGCTGCCTGCGCAGTGTCCCCCATCCCTCCACTGTGGCTTGGCTATGAGTCTTTTCTCCCTCTGGGGCTGGATCTGAACTTTATGTGCCCCCCTTTTTGGTGGGAGGATGGAGGAGACAGCAACTTCCTTGCTTCTGATGGACAAAAGGCCAGTGTCGGGCCCTCAGAAGTTGTACGCTTTCATTTTCCCCCAGCTAATGGTATGGAGGACACACACAGGCTTGGTGACTTGCCCAGGTCACTCTGAGGGTCCATACTGGGAGTGTGGCTGTCATCTGGAGCTGTCACAGCCTGGCCACTCTACATATAGTGTCGACAAGGGCACATTAGAGTCTCCTTTCACCCCAGGACTCCCAGATCCTGATCTGAGACCCCTCCCAGTACCTCCAGGACTGACCTCAATCTCCCCTCAGGAATTCTACACACTAACCTGCGTCTTCTGGAAGGAGGGGGACAGCCAGCACTCCCAGGGGGGCTGGAGCCCTGAGGGCTGCCGCACAGAGCAGCCTTCCCCTTCCCAGGTGCTCTGCCACTGCAACCACCTCACCTATTTTGCTGTTCTCATGGTATGTATGCCTCCCGCCTAAGAGAGGGAAAGAGGGAGGGGGGAGGGAGGGAGATAGAGACAGAGACAGAGAGACAGAGACAGAGAGAGACAGAGAGACAGAGACAGACAGAGACAGAGACAGAGAGAGATACAGAGACAGAGAGACACAGAGACAGACAGAGAGACAGAGACAGAAAGACAGAGCATAATAAACTCAGTGGGCTCAGGTTTCTTAAAACAGCTCGTTTAGGCTTCAGGCATGGCTTGATCCAGGGGCTGAATATAATTAAGACAGGATTCTATCTCTGTTCCTCAATTGTGCTTGCTCTGGGCTGGCTGCCTCATAGCATAATAGTATGACTTCCAGGCATTTCAAGTTTATCCTCTGCTAGTGTTTTTATTTTTGGGTCCAGTTGTGGGGCCTGAACTCTGGCCTGGGCGCTGTCCCTCAGCTCTTCAGCTCAAGGTTGGCAGTCTACCACTTGAGCCATAGCACCACTTCCAGCTTTTTTCTTTTTGCTTATGTGGTGCTGAGGAATCAAACCCAGGGCCTCATGCATGCAAGGCAAGCGCTCTACCCCTGAGCCACCTTCCCAGCCCCCCTCTGCTAGTTTTTAGGCCAGAGTCTTTCCAGTTCTGCTATGAGTCTTGGTGTTGAGTCTCACTAGGTCCTGTACTCATCCTTCAGCAATCATTATGGGCAACAGGAGGTAGGCCTGTGATTGGCCAGGCCTGTCACACTTGTCTGCACACGTGGAGGTGTGGGGCCTCCATACCTGTGTGCATAGAATTGTGAGGGGACATTGTAGAGGAGATGAGGGTGCAAGTTAACACTTCTGCCTTGGCATTAAAAAAGAATTCTATTTATTATTTGTAAAATTGTTACGATAAAGGTGTCATACGAGGGGTTACAGTTACATAAGTCAGGTAAAGAGTACATTTCTTTTTGGACAATGTCACCCCTTCTTTCACTCTTTCCTAGTTTTTCTCTACCAACCCCACCCACAAGTTGTATGGTTCATTTTCAACATAGTGTCTAGTGAGTACCACTGCTGCATTTGTTCATCCTTTGTCCCTCCATTTCTGTGCCCCTCCTTACCTTCCCAAAGACAGATTAATGGACAAACATGACTAAAAGAAAAAAATCAGAACATAGGAAAAAACCCCTCATTTCCACTTCCTGGAGTTTGCTTTGATAAATATTATTTTATATGATGAGAGGCATATAGGTATTGTGCCTTTGAGCTCCTCTCCTAAGAATATCCTTCTTTGGTCTCACAGTGTGTGAATGCCTGGAGTCCTGTCTCGGTGTATGTTAGATCTAGCTTCAGCATATGAGGGAGAACATGTGCCCTGGCTTTCTTCAAGCTTGGGTTGGGCTGGGCTGCAGGTTAGGGCTTGCAGCTGAGGTCTGGGGTGGCCCCTCGGATGGAGCCTGTGAGGGCCTTGGTCTTTGGGTCTCAGCTCCCCTTTCCTCCTGCAGCAGCTCTCCCCAGCCCAGCTCCCCACAGAGCTGCAGGCACCTCTGGAGTATATCTCCCTGGTGGGCTGCAGCGTCTCCATCCTGGCCTCACTGCTTGTCATCCTGCTGTACATCCACGACAGGTAATGCCACCCCCAGCCAGGCCTGTGCATCCTGATCAAGCCTCCCTGATTTCCTGTCCAGGATGAGGCGCAAGCCCAAGCCATGGGCCCCTCCCCAGTTTCCCCATCCTATGTCTCTCTGAGCCCAGGGGTGGCACTGCCTAGGTAATGTCCCCAGGGAACCAAGGGCCTCCCCACCCTGCCCACAGGAAGCAGAGTGACTCCATCGCAAGCATCCATGTGAACCTGCACGTCTCCGTGCTGCTCCTGAACGTCACCTTCCTTCTGAGCTCCACTTTGGCCGTGGCCCCCGTGCCTGGGGTTGCGTGCACGGCACTGGCTGCCACCCTTCACTACACTCTGCTCAGCTGCCTCACCTGGATGGCTATGGAAGGCTTCAACCTCTACCTGCTCCTGGGCCGCGTCTACAACATCTACATTCACCACTACGTGCTCAAACTCTGTGCACTGGGCTGGGGTAACCGCTCTCCTCTCTCAGGGCCTCTTGAGCTCTCCAACAGGCAGGGTGCTAGTCCCTCGTTCGGCTCATCCTCAGCCTAGAGTGGCCCATTCCAGGCTCAGGCTCCAGGTTCCGAAGCTGGACTGCGTGGGGATGGGGTTCTGGGTCCCTGGCCCTCTATATCCCCAATGGGAAGGTCGTGAGTCTTTGTCCCCCTTTCAGGGGTTCCGGCCCTCCTGGTGCTGCTTCTCCTCACTGTGAAGAGCTCCGTGTATGGACCCTGCACAATCCCACTCGTCCACAACCAGGAAAACCACACAGGCTTCCAGAATGTGTCCATGTGAGTGTCCTGGATGTGTGGTCTTGCCAGCTGTGGTGGGAGGATTCAAGAGGGACCATGCCAGGCCAGGCCAGTGGCCAGGCCAGGCTGAGGGGCATGGAGGGGGCTGTGGCTTAGCTGGGATAGGTGGGGGGAGGAGGCTCTGCTCACCTCCTGCTAGAGCTAGAAGGGCGCCTGAGTTTTGCTCAGTGCTGGCTGACTCTAGAAAGGTGCCACAGCTTCGAGGCCAGGGCACCTGGGCCTCCGCCCTCCAGGCACACAGAGACAGCACCACCAGCATCACCCTGTGGTTCTAGCCTGCCGGCCTGGCTCAGTCTGTGCCTGATGCTCTGCCCTTGGGTACCTTGCTTTTCAGGCTCCAGGGGCACTGGACATTGATAAGTACCCCAGATCCCTTCCTACTCAGAGGAAAGACCGAGTGGGCAGGGGTAGAGGTGTGCTGTGGTGGTGGCTCAGCATGTGGGTGTCCCTTAGGCCTGGGGAACAGTCTTTATTTTGAAACACTCTCAACAATGAGAAGGGTATGAGACACCCCAGGAGCTCTATCTGCATAATCTGGCTTTCCTTCCATTCCTTCTGTGGCCCTGGCCACTTAGAGAGGTGGCGCTCACTCACACCAGGCCCTCTGGCAGTCCTGCTTCACAGTTAGGGCACACCCCAAAATCCAGGCTGAGGTGGGAGTTGACCCCAGCCAGCCAGCACCACCTCTGTGTGTGCCCAGCAGGACAGTTGGGAGTGAGTTCATCATTTCCCTGGGAGGCTGCGTTGGTGGCTCCGAGGAATGTGTCTGTATTTTATTTTTATTTTTGTCCTTGTACTGGAGCTTGAACTCAGGGTGTCATACTCCTGCTTGGCTTTATGGCTCAAATTTGGCATTCTCCCACCGCTCTACGTCTGGCTTCTTGCTGGTTAACTGGAGATAGGAGTCTCACAGACATTCCCACCTAGTCTGGGTCTGACCCATGATCCTTAGAGGGCAGCTTCCTGAGTAGCCAGGATTACAGGCATGAGCCACTGGCACTGGGTTGAAGATATATTTTATTACATAACATGTGACATGGACCAGAGAGTTCAAGTGACACTTCTACAAGGCAGGAGGCATATCAGTGCATGGACACTGGGGATCCCACACTTTAGGAAGCAACCCTTCCTATTCCTGCTCTATGTTCCCCCAGCCCGGGATGCTGTGACCCTGATTCCTGAAACTTTCACTCTGCATTTTAAGAATCACTTGAGATACATGCACACTTGGAACCCACATGACAACAGAAGTACTAGCAGACACAGAGTGATTCAACTGTGATGGGCCACCGTGGCTGGGAAGGAAGGCATCACACTGTACTTACCAGCCTGGAGAACACCCCAATAGTGTCAGGGAACCCTGTGATCCCAGTGGGGGAGCCTCTGGGACAGCTCTGGGCAGGTGACACCGATGGCCAGAGCATCGGGCTCACATCGAGGAGCTTCTGGTCACCTTAGCCTGGGTGGTGTGCATTTCTCAGCCAGCACCCTAACATCCTCATCTGGGTGGTGGTGGGGGCGTGGGCTTCCTGTCTCCTGGTCGTCATGGGAACTGCTTGGGATATCACACGTCAGGCAGATGACCTTGTGTCTGGCTCAGGAGACAGCGCTTGTTCCGAAGGTGTCCTGGAAGATCCGAAGGCCACAGGGAGGGCCTAGGTCCTGGGATCAGGCCCTGAACGCTTTTCCCTTGCTGAGGCTGAGCCCTCTGTGGGATTTTCCTGCTCTTTCCTCTGCCTCATATTCCCAAATGCAGAGCCCCATCCACCAAACCAGCGGGTAGGGCACCACATGCTGTTCTAGGCTGGCCTCCAGGCTGGGTGGCAGTGGCAGAATTATGGCAACTGTGTGGTAGGGCAGAAGGAGACATATTCAGGGTCCTGTAGGATGCTGTACAGTGGCAAAGGGCTGAGGGGAGGGGAGAGAGACACACTCACCTCACTTACCTGACCCAGGTAAGGCTGAAAGGCAGGCATGGCAGGGCTTCAGAAAGGGGACCAAGGGGACTGGTGGCTCATGTTGTGGTGAGCTGGTTGGGTGCTGGATGACCAGCAGCAGACAATGATTAGAGCAGAAAGCCCAGACAAGGCTGAGGCAGTCCCTTGGGCCCAGTGTGTCTGGCCTCCCTCTGACCTTGGGGGTGGGCTGACCCTGGCCTTCACCCCTCCCTCCCGCAGGTGCTGGGTGTGTAGCCCAGTGGTGCACAGTGTGCTGGTCATGGGCTATGGTGGCCTCATGTCCCTGTTTAACCTGGTGGTGCTGGCCTGGGCGCTGTGGGCCCTGCGCAGGCTGCGAGCTGGCCAGAAGGCACCGAGGACCCAGGCCTGCCGGGACACTGTCACCGTGCTAGGCCTCACTGTACTGCTGGGCACCACCTGGGCCTTAGCTTTCTTCTCCTTCGGCATCTTCCTGCTGCCCCAGCTCTTCCTCTTCACCATCTCCAACTCGTTCTATGGTAAGATGGTGGTGGGCAGCTGGTAGGATGCTTGGGGAAGGGGCTGAATCCACAGCTGTGTGTGCCCACCTGCTCTGCATGGAGGATGGGCTCTACCCTGACTGGCACACTCAGAGTCCTCTGACTCCTAGAGTCGGTCCCTCTGTCCCCCAACTGTAAGTGGCTGTGACTCCAGGGAGGCCCAGCTACTCCAGCTATGGGAGGGGGTCCCCTGAATTCTGGGCGAGGTCCCTCACTACGTGGTGATGCCCCCTGCAACCTGGCTTTTCTTTCAGGCTTCTTCCTCTTCCTGTGGTTCTGCTCCCAGAGGTGCCACTCCCAAGCAGAGGCTAAGACAGAGATGGAGAGGATCAGCTCTTCCCAGATGACCACACACTGACCTGGCCTCCTGGTCTGGAGCCCCAGGTCCTGGCTCACAGCACAGGAGGTAGCAGGTCTACAGCTGGGCTCGGAGGCCCGTGCCCCCTCTCCTCCAGACGACAGGGCCTAGCTCTGGCATTCTGCTCTAAGGTGGTCCAGTTTCAGCTGTGTTGGGGGGAGGGGGCATCCCAGCCTACTGGAGAGTCAGGAAGCCTTGTCGCAAGGCCTAGCTCTAATGCTCTGTGGCTATTATTTCTCATGGAACAACCTCCTTCCCCTACCACCGCCTTCCCAGTCTCCTCATCTGTGACATTGGGGCCACAGGCTGTGGTTCTGTCTAGCCCAGGATCTTTGTGGGGTGGGGTGGGGAGGGCATCAGTGTGGGCATCATGATCTCTTATCTACCTGCTGGAGGTTGAGTCCACCGCCCACTTCTGGCCCCTGGCCTCTGCCCCCTGCTGGTATGTTGAAGCCCACCAGTTCTGAGATCTCACTATATTTTTCTTCTGACAATCCAAGGATGATGGCCTTAACTCAAAGCACACCCTACCCAAAGATGGAGAAGCGCCAGTCCTTCCCAGGTCTCCCGCTCAGTGCTCCAAACACCTGGGTTTCCAGGAGATAAAAGGGAGTGCTTCATTCCTTGCAGCTGAGCCCGCTGGGCCTCAGGGACCCTGCTGTTAGATGATAGGACTGGACTGGGTTTTCTCTGGTGGACAATCAGATGTGGGTGCGAAATCACAAGCTCTGACCACACTTGCAGAGCATCACTATTGCCTCAGACCTGCCTGCCAGAGGGGAAGAGAAGGCCCTCGAATCCAGTGCTTTTCCCAACATGGACACCAGGGGGAGCTGCTGATCTGTACGCAGCGCCATTGGCTTCCTAAACTGGGGTGGTCAAGGGTCTGTGAAACCAGAGCTTCCTCGGGAGAATCTGCTACCTCCAGGACTGAGCTCCCTGGATGCTGGCCAGGTGATTTCAGGGAAAGGCCGATCTTGTGCTGCATCCATGCGTCTCTTTCTCCAGTGTACCTGGCAGAGGTTGTTTTCCAGGGGGCTGGGCCTCAGGCATTAGAACAGCTGGTGGAAGTAGATTTCTACTCCAGCTCATCAGACAGTTTTATGCCCTTGAGCCTCACAGGAAGGGAAATGGATCGCTGTCCTGTGTGTGTGTGTGTGGGGGGGGATCCACTACCATTCTGTATATCTCTGGATGATACTTGCTAGCTGTGTGACTGGAAAAGTCACTCCACTTCTTTGTGCCTTTGTCTTTCCAGTTGTTCAACTATTTTGAAGATTGAGTAAAATAATCCACGTGGAGGCTTGGCTCAGAGTTAGTGCTCCTTCAATGGGTTATTTTTGCCATTTATGTTTTTGTAATTAACAGAGTTAATGCCAGGCACTGATGGTTCACGCCTTGTAATCTTAGCTACTCAGGAGGCTGAGATCTGGAGAATCATGGTTCAAAGTTAGCCCAGGGGGTAGGGTAGGGTGGGTGGGAACTCCACAAGACTAATCTCCAGTTAACCAGCAAAATGCCAGACTGGATGCATGGTTCAAGTGGTAGAGTGCCATCTGTGAGCACCAAAAGCTGAGTGAAAGCACAAGGCCTGGAGGTCAGGCCCCAGTACCAGCACAACAACAACAACAACAAACCAACAAACGTACCAGAGTCGAGTCCATCCGAGGCCATGGCATCTGGGACCCAGGCTCAGGTCTGTTCCACCCCCCAGCTCCTTAGACACATCCTGCATCCCTGGTGCAGTCCTCACCCCCACCTCTATTGTAGGAATGGTCCTCTTCCTCCAGGAGAGCCTCCGGGCTGTCCCTCCCCATCACCAGCCCCAGCTCCTCAGCTGACTCTGGTGGGTCCTTTGTTACAACTTCAGAGAGAGAAGAGCGGCCTCCTTCCCACTCTGAGGGCCTCCCTTCCCGAGGGTAATGAGACTCCACCTGAGGCCTGTGGTTGAGGCCAGCCCTGAGCGTTCCCCCTCCCCCTTCAGGCTGGGGAAGAGATAGGCCAGGACCCTCCCCCCCCCACTCCTACCTCAGACTCCCGCAAGCCTTGAGCTGCCTGAGAGAGAATGTGGGGGGATTGTGGTAACATAGGATGGTTCCAGAAAACAGATCCCAAGCTGTGCCTCCCCTCCCCAAGTCCTGCAGGGCTCCAGGGTTGGCACTGTTTCCTGGAAACGCTCCATAAGGGTGGGGTAGGATCTGAGGGGCCCCTTTCTCTCCTCCCCAGCCCTAATGGGGCATCCAGACCAGGGGGATGGTGAGGGGTAAGGCAGGGGAGATCGTTTAGGGGGGCTTTGCTTAGGGCCAGAGAATGTCAGGAGGTGCTTGGGGAAGGGGACCTTGGCGCCATTGGTGTGTTTCGGGCTGTTGGCCCTGTGGGAGTGGGGGCCGGGTGTTAAAGGCAGAGCTGCGGGATGAAACCTAGGAAACTCATCTTGGAGGCAGACACACTCACAAATCATCCCTCGTCAATCTGAAATTCAAATTGAGCTGTGTCCTATATACCCATTTCTATTTTTGCTCCATCTGGCAATCTTATTGGCAAGAACATTGGCTCAGGAGTCCTGGGTATGAACCTTCACCCCTCACCTCAGCCCAGCCAGGTGCTCCCTGGGCAGCCCCTCTGCCCACAGAGAGCCCACCCAAGTCCAAGCTGTCCCCGTAACCCCAGTTCAAGCCAAACCCACTGCCAGAAACCCCACAGTCTGTCCTGGGGCCCTCCTACTCCTGCTCCTAATGCTGGCTCAGAACCAGCCTCCATCTCTGCAGACTCTGCTCACAAGCCTCCCTGCCTCCCACTCGCAGCCCCAACATTTTTTCCCCTGCAGACACGCCCACTTTGATCAGGACTTGGGATCTAGCCTGCACCCCTCTCCAACGCATCCCCCACCTCTTCTTCCCCATCCTCTTCCTCAGGGTCCCTGGCAGTCTTTCTTGTCTGGGACTCCGTCCCTGTCTGGAACTTTCTTCTCGAGCTTGGCTTTCGTGGTGTAATGACAACACATCTTAGGGCTCAGGGCTGTATGCGCTCCCCATCCCCATCCCCACCCCAGTTCCTGATGGGACCAAAACCTGCTCCTGACCTCTGTGCCCTTCTTCCAGGCAGAGGCCGCAGGCAGAGCCTTCTCTGTATAGAAGTCTCCATATTCCTCCACATTGTAACTGTTCCTGTCTGAGCTGCCAGATGGGGAGCGTTTGGGAGACAGGTGCTCCGTCTCATTTGCTCATCCATCCATCACTTAACTGCTACGCTCTTGTATTTTGGGCTCTACGCTAGTTTCTAAGTTTAGGGAAGTGAGCGAGTCACCATTCCAGTGTGTGTTTGTGTGTGTGTGGAGTTGTCACTCAGGAAGCCGCTTTACAAATAAAGATAAGTCAGGGCAGATGGTGACGCGTGTGGTGAGAGAAGTTAAGAAGGGTGAGGGGCAGCGGGCCGGCTGCTTCCTGGAGGGCAAGGCCCAGCTGGAGGCTATGGTCCTGTGGTGACTGTGAATTTGGGGGTTGGGAAGAAAGGGAGGTGAGGCTCCCATGAGGAATAGCTCTGGATAGAGGGCACTGTGGCCTGGGGAGGAGCCCTCTCTGTAAGACAGAAGCACAAGCAACATGAGGTTCGTCTAGGAGGACACCCACAGAGGCAGATCAAGCAGTAGGCTTCTATAGAAATCTTTCCAAGCGAGGGGCTGGGAAGGTGGCTCAGTGGTAGAGGCTTGCCTTGCATGCCTGAGGCCCTGGGTTCGATTCCCCAGCACCACATAAGCAAAAAGAAAAAAGCCGGAAGTGGCGTTGTGGCTCAAGTGGTAGAGCGCTAGCCTTGAGCTGAAGAGCTGAGGGATAGCGCCCAGGCCCAGAGTTCAGGCCCCACAACTGGACCCTCCCCCTCCAAAAAAAGAAATCTTTCCAAGCCACAAGAGTACTGGGAAGGCACCAGGAGTGAGCGTCACCAGAAGCAAAAGCAACAGGTTTATACGCCCAGCAACAGAGTGATGGTCACAAAGATGAACATATCAAACAAGGAAGAGGGGGGACAAAGAGAGAGAGGGAAGAGGAAGAAGGAGAAGGAAAAGGAGAGAAAGAAAGAAAATAGGAGGAGGAAAAGGAGAAGTAAGAGGAGGAATGGAATTTCTAAAAATAAAAATAGAATTCCAAAAATCTAGCTGGGTGGCTCATGCCTGCAATCTGAGCTATTAACGGGGCTGAGACCTGAGGATCACAGTTCAAAGCCAGCCGGGGCAGGAAAGTCCATGAGACTCTTATCTCCAATAAACTACCAGAAAACCAGAAGTGGCACTGTGGCTCAAGTGGCATTGTGGGTCAAATGGTAGAGCATTAGCCTTGAGCTGAAGAGCTGAGGGACAGTGCCCAGGCTCAGAGTTCAAGCCCCACGCTGACAAAAATAAAATAAAAAATATATATGAATTCCCAAATTTAAAATTTAACGACACATAAAGAATTAGCCTGTCCGGCATCAGTGGCTCACTCCTGTAATCCTAGCTACTCAGGAGGCTGAGATCTGAGGATTGTGGTTCAAAGCCACTTCAGACATGAAAGTCTATAAGACTCTTATCTACAATAAACCGCTCAGAAAGCCAGAAGTGGCACTGTGGCTCAAGTGGTAGAGCATTAGCCTTGAGCTGAAGAGCTGAGGGACATGCCCAGGCCCAGAGTTCAAGCCCCACAACCAACAAAAAACAAAAACAAAACAAAACAAAAAACCCCACGGAATTAGTGAGCCTAAAGTTATTTATAAAGAAATGCAGTGAAGCCGGGTATGATGGTATACATTTGTAATCCCAGCTCTTGGGAGGCTAAGAAAGCAGGATCACAAGTTCAAAGCCAGCCTGGGCTATATAAGGAGACCTCCATCTTAAAAGACAAACAATAAAACAAAACAAAAAACCAACCAAAAAAGCAAGCAAACAAAATGGTAGCAAAAGAATTATGATAAATGATAATATGAAGATTAAGAGGTACAGAGAACAGAATGAGAAAATCTTACATAGAAACATCCCCGAGGAAGAAAATAAAGACAATGGAAAAGAGGCGATATTTTTAGATAAAATAACTGCACCTTTTCTAGAAGTGAAAGAAAAGCAGAACCACAGAACCAGGACACAAAGCTTGTCAAGCAAAATACATAAAAGCGAGCCTGAGCCCGAGCTTCGCGCATTTTATTGGGAGTAGAGGATGTCAGAGAAAGAGACCGGATGAAAGCAGTCATTGAGAAAGGACAGCTTGTGTACGAGGCTACAGAAGGCGAGCTGGCTTCTCAGCCTCCTGAGAGAGGCGGAGAGACCGGAATAAAGCCTCTGAAGTGACAAGAACAAACAAATAGCAACTCAGAGTCACTCCTGCAAAACACCCTTTTAAGAACCGAAGACAACAAAAGAATTAACAACAACCACAAACCACCCCACACATTCCAACACCTATAGGTAAACAAAGGCCTGAGTCCAAAAGATGTATTTCAAGGAGGAAAGGATTCCAGGTGCACCTTAGATGCATGACCCAATAGTAACCATGGAAAATAGTAACTATAGAGAAATTCACTATAAAGTCATCTGATTAGCTGAGGGACTCAAACCTGTAATCCTAGCTGCTCCAACCCAGGTTGGAGAGTCTGTGAGACTCTTGTCTCAAATTAGCTACCAAAATATACCCCCGAACAAGGTGCTGGGAAGGTGGCTCAGTGGTAGAGCACTTGCCTTGCATGCCTGAGGCCCTGGGTTTGATTCCTCAGCACCACATAAGCAAAAAGAAAAAAGCTGG